CTTTTGGGCCATCAGGTAGGTCCCAAATCATGACATGGAAATTTACTATTAGTTTTGAATGCTCAGACTTAACTTAGTGCTTTTCTTTTTTAGCTCTTTTAACATAAATTTGCCCGTTTTTCTTCGTCTACCATTTGCCCCGGGCGTATTATCTTTCTTCTGTTTATCTTAATTTCATTGCTTCTCAATGTCTGTCTGTGTGGCAACTGCCTGGCTTCTCGCCCCAGGTGTGACCCTTGTCCCCTCCTTCTGTTCTCACTTTTTCTTTTCCTCTAGACATCTTTTCCTCTTTATTCTCTGCCTGCCAGCCTTGCCTCCCTTTCCCTGGCTAGGTAGTTGCCATTCAACTCTTTATTCGACCAATCTGGTGCCTTAGGCAAGGTAAGACAGATGCAACACATCTTTCCATGATTAAACACACGTCCTTACATCATCAAACAAATGCAGCATAAGCAAAAGTAACACACCTTTACCCAGTTAAAGTTATATTGTACAACAGTAAACACCAACCCACGCACAAATGATTGGATCCACAATGGTGTCCTGCCTGCAAAATTTAAATTAAAAAAAAAAAAGGAGAGAGAGAGAGAAAAGGAAGGCTGCATGCTCAGCAATAGATGGCCAACAGAAGAATGTTCTCATCCACATCACTGGAATTTCCTTGTCTCATACTGTCATATCGGGGCTTTTTGTTCTCTCTTATTATTCTATTATGGCATTTTTGTTTACTTATATTTTTCTCTACTTTTTACTCTACAATACTTTTGCATAGATATTAAGGCTTTCAGTTTATTGGGTTTTTTGTGGGTATTTTTCCGAGTGTGTGAGTGGCATTCTATCTCTGATTCTTGTGCCTTTTCTCGGGCTCCTCCCCATCTGTTTGTTTTGTGCTGTTCTGCGGACATGTCAGTTTTAGTTTTATCGTATTATGTTATTTTATGCTGTATTCTATTACATTGTAATCCCTTAGAAGCGGTTTGCGTTCTAATGGTAGACAGAAACGGAACGAATCTGTATGAGAGGAGAGGTGGGGGGAAAACTAGAGAAGGAGAGAGAGGAGACCATAATCAAGATGCAATATGTGAGAAAAAAATCAATATTCATAGAAGGATAAAAAGAAAAAAGAATTATTAATGTTGGCCATTTTCTATTTCTTAGTTTCATTTCTTCAGAGAAATAAGTACTAGTTTTTTTTTTAATTACACGGCAGTAAGATTTTAATATAAAATGATAAGTCAAGAAAATAAAGGATTTATGGGGAAAAACAGTTTCCAGTACTGAATTATTATTAGTGTTGATGATTTTGACCTACTTGCAGATATTCTAGTGATAAGGAAATATGCTACTGCCCTCTTCTGGAAGAAGCTTGAATGACAGGAGCTTTGCAGGTTCAGTTCAAGATGGGGAACAAATACTATGATTCTTTCTTTAGTTTCACTTTGTTTCTTTATTGTTTTGTTTTGTTAGTTAACTTAGTGAATTTTAAACATATTTTAAAATTGTTACATTTTCTCTTATCCCCTACAGTAATCAATATGTCATTTCCCAAAAATTCTTTATCACAATGTGTACTTCAAAGTTGTATTGGAATACAATGCTATAATTCATGGGGAAATGAGACATGTGTACACTCAGAAAATCCACTAAAACACTAAACTGGAAGCTATAGTATAAATGCAAAGGACCTGGAAGGTAAAAAGAGAGAAAATATGTAGTAAAATAGCAAAATAAAAATTAGGAGAATTTTAAATACCTTTTAAAACACATATTTATTTGGGGGGGGGTGAGTGTCAGAGCATACACTTGGCGGTTTCTCTATATACCCTGTGGGTTCCAGAGACCAAAGTCACGTGAGAGTTGGTGTCGCTCCACCGAGACATCTCATCAACACAGTTTTTATCTTCCTTACCATAAAACTGAATGCAGCCTAGAGAGTTTATTACCGCTTCCTAGTGGGAAAAGAGAGGATCTTATATTTGTAGCCTCTATACCTTCCTGGAAACCTCACACTGCCAGTAATCTCGGGAGATGCTGCAATGTACACATAAAGGTTTACTGAGAGGTAACTGCATGTTGTTATCCATGATCGAGTAGGACGTGCGGTAGTGAATTTGGTACGGTGTGCTCATGTGTCAATAATTAATCCCTCACCCATTCTCTGTAAGCAAGTCCCAAAAATGTCGAAGGAAAGGAAGATTGTGATAAGCAAATGATATTGCAAAGTGTGCAAAGGTATTGAAATGCAAACACATCTTCATGCAATTACATTCCATCACCATACTGCCTCATGTACAGTCTCTAACCTCACCAATGGGGGCCTTTCTTCCTTTACCCATTTTATTCTCAGCACTTCATTGAGGGTTCTAGCACCTTTCATTCTGCTTTGTAATTGCAAACAGACATCTCCTCGCTATGACACTCCTAGATGTAAATTCAGGCCAAATTTTGGTGAAATAGAATAAAAACATCCATTTACTTCAAATTCTAGACTTTAGAGAGGGATTATCTCTATTAACTTTTGCTGTTGCTAAATAAATGCCACAGTAGCTGGGAAAGCTCAAGTAAAGATCTCACTGGCCATTAATGAAGGAAAGGGGAGTTAAGAGTAGGAAATTATGCAGCGTATTAAACTTCTTTGATATTAAAGAAAGAATAGGAAATTAATAAGGAAATATGATTTTATCTATATTTTAATTAAAATGATCAGGTACAATTGTCTCAGCATGTATAAGGAGTAATGTTGGCCTTTACTTATTCACTTAGAGTCAGGATGTCTGTCTTGCACGGGCTTTCTTACATCTCACGTGGTAGATCAGGTTGGACTTGAATATGCAGCAGCAATCCCCTGCTTCGTCTTCTGAGTACTGGGATCACAGACAACGATCACCATATCTTGCTGAGAGTTTTATTTAACAGATGCTGAACTCAGGGGAAGGGCTACCAGAAAGGACCACTGGAGAATTGTCAGCATGGCAAAAAGGAGCGAGGGACACTTTGCTTTGCTCCAACCTCTTGGCCAGTGTTCCTCATGTGACAAGTGGGGGCCTTGTGATGGATTTAATTGTTCTCCAAATTAAAAAAAAATGCACTTCCTGCATCATTTTCAATTAGTGTGGGAAGAAAAGATGGAGATACGTTTTGCTGATAAGGTAGGACCTCAGACTACAAACTTTGTCAGAGCAGAAATGCAATCAGTCCCTCCCAGACCTGCATCTGCTGCAGCTCCAGGCAGCAGGTGGGGCGTAAAAGCAATTCCCATGTCTCCCCAGAGCACTGACAGAAAAGGGACTGTCATATCTTAACAGGAGAATAGTATCTAGCAGAGACAGAGACAGAGACAGAGAGAGATCTGGGACAACATAGAAGAAACCAAGGGAATGAAAAGACTCCGAAACAGAAAAGCTGAATTAAATTAAATGCTTCCGCTTCTGTGTGAGGATTTGTTGTTTGTTTTCTTTTATAAAGTCACCATTGAGAATAGAATAATGAATTACCAGCAACAGATAAGGGGAGGAAACAGAGAAAAAGACTTGGAATTATGGGAAATGACTAAATGTAGGTAGAGGGCTAATATAAATCATAATTAGTAACAGGGCTGGCCCGGGCACGCATATAACTCAGTGGTAGAGCATTGCCCAGCTGGAACAATGTGCTCATAGGTTTAATGTCCAAGAAAGGAAAGAAGGGAGGGAGGTACAAAAACTGATTATAATTAGTAAATTCATGTTGTATGTTCAGGTTATTCTATTATAATTCCAGTTCTTTAGTTAATGTCATACATGAAGCAACTGAAGAAAACAAACACTCAACTGAATACAGTTTGTTGAAAGCTATATGCATTTTTATATATTTTGAGACTACGTTAGAGGACCCATCAGTCATCAAATTCTACCCTTTGTCCACAAAGTGGTCACAGCCCTGTGACTTCGTTAATCCCACTGGGAATGTGATAGGAATGCTTAAGTGCTGGCTCAAATGAAAGACAACCTAGCTCATGAATTGTCAGGGGCATAATCCAGTTCAGGCGACTCAAGAGAAAACCAGGAGGGAAACAAACACCCTTGTTTAAACTTTGTTTATTTGTAGGTTAAAATGTAATGCCATACAGCTTTAACAATCACTTCAAAAGAGGATTCATATTTGCATAAAATGAAGCAAAACGGAAATATGTGAAATCAAATACTACCTTGCTTCCAAGTTTCCAAATCAGCACATAGAGTCCCAATATAGTATATAAATATACTATAAGTGATTTCGAAACCACGATAAATATTAAGTAGGGTTTCAGGCACACGTTGTAAGAAAAATGCAGAGTCTGCATAATTCTAGAGAGTGTGGAGCAATTCACTCTTAAGTCATTTTCACCCACCGATTTTACACAAGATATCCAACCATCATATGTGATCCGCAGTCACTTCCCAATCTAACATCTCATCCAGCATTAGCGCCTTCTCACTCCTTGATTCATATTGCTCTATACAGCTATCATATAAGAAAATACTTTGTAGTTTTCTTCAATTAAGTGCCTAGATAATAAGTACAACCTATCTACAGAATGTATTCATGGACATGTGCTGACAGGCACGCACTCACACAACTGTTCTTGGTAATACTGGGACTTACCCTGAAGGTAAAATTATAAATTGTAAGATGTACCAGGGATTTTAAAGTTGCCAATAATCTTAAACCCAGAAATCATTAGAAACTGAGGTAATGCCTGTTTGTTTGTTTTTAAGAAATAGAAATAGTTGAAATATGCCAAAAGTATTGTTTTTTTTAAAAAAAAAAAAATATCCTGGCAAAATACAGCCTCAGCCACAGTAAGCTTTGTTTGTAATCATTTCTGTGCTAACGTAAACCGAGGGATGCTATTCTTGGACTGCCTTGTACTGTTGGGATTAAAGATCACAGCCATAGACACCTGAGATCACCTCCGGATAAGTGAAGCTCGATGCTTCTCATTGTAGAACCAACGTTCATTAATAAAAATGAACCACACACAGCGTGTGCTCTCATTTCAGCTACAAGTCTGACTCCGGCATATCGGGCATGTCTGCCATCAAATACCCAATCCCATAGCGTCCATTGGGAGCGGTGTCCAGTGTCGGGGAACCACTTTGTTTTCGATAAATATTTTTACCGAAGTTTGGAGATGACATTTCGCTTGGTATCTTCCCATGAATGAGGCTTGCATCATCTCCTTCTAAGTTCACAGACTCTTTCAGGACTCTTCCTCTCTTGTAAGTCACAGAGGCCAAGTTACCAGAACTATCATCTATGAGGTTGCAGCGACGAATGACAAAAACAACCGGGACAGGGAGTATTGCAAGCACCATCAGAGAGAAGCAAACAGCCATCCCCCACATCGGGTAGCTCAGAAATTCTTCTGAGGCCTGGTAAGGGCAAGGAAAAATAAATGTCAACCGTCTTTTAAGGCACACATAAGGCATACCAAAGAGTTACAATGGTCTTGGATTTATATGTCAAGCTCTGGGATAATTAAGTCATTTGCTCTGACTGACAGTAAGTAATGGAAGTGATGGTCAGCAAACTCAATAATTAAAAAGTCTGATCATTTATATTTTGGTTTCTTAGAATTCTGCCCTCACCCCATGAAGCTTGAGAGAACTCAAGGAGGAGTTAAAGAAAAAGGGGAGGGGGGGAGAGAGAGAGAGAGAGAGAGAGAGAGAGAGAGATCCCATTTCCCATACCAAATGCAACTTTATCTGTTAGTCGAAGAAAAGTCAAAAACAAAAAAAATGACAATAATTAAGCAAAGCAATTAGTCACTAGGTTTTGGGATACTCTAAACAACAGGTGTCTGTTAGGTGTACCCTACTAGCCCTCAAAAGTCTGAAAACCTAGACTTCAAAGCAAATCTGGTCCCAAGTTTTTGATAAAGATGACAGGCTGAGCTGTGTTTCCATGTGAATGAATTATTATTATGTAGAATTATTGACCATGGAGTAGTTAAGATGAGAACACTGTCTATAACAGCCAACACAGAGCACATGTTTGAGCCAATATGGCTAGTACTACTTGGAAACATACCTTCCACAGTCACTACTCAAAGAAAACAATTGTCATAAAGCCCTTACTCGGTATTTATTTAAATTATGTCTATATCACTAATGTGCATTTTAAGTGTTGTGAGTAGCTGCAATGTAATGAATTTCTGTAGGAGAATACTTCTGGGGGGTTACTATGTTTCCTAGAGTCCAAGGCCATGCAGCCACTGTTCTTCAGTGATAAGAGGTAGAGTTCTAGTTTGATATGAACAAAGCTGGTGCCATTTGCTACAGAAATTCAGTGTGTAAAACATCATAGCTGTGGGAGGGACACATTATAAATCTTAATATCCCCAAACCAAAGCAACATCATTCAATATAAGTAAATACTATGAAACAAATAAAATACAAAGTTTTCTAAGATGGCAAAATAAGCTAACTTCTTTTTGTATTTTACCTTCTCCTCGATCCATGCGTTATAGCCAGGAGGACTTAATCCCATATTCACAATGCTAGCAATTAGCAATGTTAATAGCATTAAAGGGGAAATGTATTTCCACATGTAATAGTAATATCTGCTTGGCGCAAAGCCTAACATATCCGTTAGGTCTTCTATAAACCTGGGTGAAAATAAAATATTTAATTATTCTTCCATCTTAATATATTACCTTACTAACTTGACAGAAATGTTTATTTAAACACTTTTGGTATGTTTTGTACTAATCACAAATTCAAGGGATACAGGGATAGCTCCATGCGCTAAGTGCTTACCATTCAAGCATGAGGGCTCAAGTTCAAATTTCAGCACCCACTTAAAAAGCCAAGACATATCAGTATGCATGTGAATCTCAGTGCTAAGGAAATGTAGACTAGCAAATCCCAGGAGCTTACTTGCCAGCCAGTCTAGCTAACATAGCAAGCCCCTGGCTCAGACAGACCCCTTCCAAAATATAAGATGGATAGCAACAGAAGAAGAGACCGTAGCATTAACCTCTGGTCTTCACAGGCACAGTAACAGACAAGCTTACCTTTACATACATGCATGCATGTAAACACACACAAATTCATAATAGTAGATGACTTCCCCAATGAATATTTACTTATAAAACAAAATGAAGCTATTATCAGTGTGTCATTTAGCCAATGACTGGTGTACTGTAAATGATGACCTGTTTTACAAATGCAAAATTTGCTGTTATGTTAAGCATCTTGATTATCATTTTACAAAAATAATAATGAGTCTATGCTATCATAAAATACCACCACCGGTGGGTGTTTATATTCTGTGGAATTCTCACTGTATTTTGAGTAGTTTCATAATTGAAAAAAATGTTCCCATTTTGTAATTCATTCACATATCTCTTAAATCCAATCTGAGTCTTCAAGTTCCTCTCTCAGGATGGTCTCTTTATTTTGTCCTGTAGTTTTCCAGTGACAATTACCTGAGGCCATCTCCATTGTCTCATTGGCAAAGGCATCTGATTCCTTTACTCCTCACAAATTAGCCACAGAAGGAGAGTCATGATTAGAATTATGCTGGACTGGAGGATGGGTTGTCCAGTTATTGCGGTATAATTTATAGGGAAAGAAATTCAGACTTTTAAGTATATAGCACCAACATGGTAGCAGTATACAGCCATTTCAAAAAATAGTTATCTCCCTTTGTATTCAGCTAAAAGTGAATCTTCAAACCACCAAGATGACTCAGTGGGTAAAGGCTCTGGTGACTAAGTCTGATGACCTGAATTGGATACTCAGAAACTACATCGAATAAGGAGAGAATCAACACTTGAAAACAGTCCTCTGACTTCCATTGGTGCACTGTAGTATTCATTACACACACACACACAGAAACACAGACACACACGCACACACACACACACACACACACACACACACAAATGGTAATGAAATAATAAACACATAAACAGATACATTTTTAAAAAAATCTTACTGCCACCCTTTTACTGATTTTTTTCCCACACTTTCTAGGAATCTAACTCCAGATCTCTAGTGGATTCCTTCAGTAAGATTATGATCATATTAAACTATAAATTTTCACAGCTGTAACTGTCCAAAGTAGCTACACTTGAATGATACTTTATGTTGAAAAATATTTTTCTTGATTATAAACATATATAGTTAACAATAATATTTGGAAATTTGCTGACAAGTGGATTTTTCTATTAGAAATTAGTTTGCTTTATCAAAATAAAGTTTTACGTATGATGCTCAGTACTTTTTTCTTGTGCTAATCACTTAGCTGGCATTGGCCATTATATCTGGTTAAGAACTCTTTGATTCTCCTTTTCCTGAGAAAATGCCATAGTGAATTCCAAAGTGGCTGTACAAGTTGTCACTCCCACCAGCAGTGGAGGGGGGCTCCCCTTTCTCCGAATCCTCTCCGAATACCAAACTGTCATTGGTATTCTTGATTTTAGCCATTCTGACAGTAGTAAGATCTCAGAGTTGTTTTGATTTGCATTTCCCTGATGGCTAAGGATGTTGAGCAATTTCTTAAATGCCTTTTGGACATCTGAGATTCCTCTATTGAGAATTCTCTACTTAAATCTGTACCTCGTTTTTTTAATTAGACTATTTGGTGTTTTGGTGACTAGTTTCTTGAGTCTTTGTATATTTTGGAAATCAGCCCTCTGTCAGATGTGGGGTTGGTGAGGATCTTTACCTCAATGAACTAGAGATTAAAGGATGTACCAGAAACTTAGCTACGTGTTCTCTGCTGCCCTCCCCACTTATGGGACCCCAGACAGGTCTTCTAGCTGATGGTGGCTTTTCCTTAATCTTTCATGAAGTTTCATGGGGGGAAATCTTCTTGTCAAAGGCTGGAAGTCTTTGGTTTCACTATTAAAGCCAGTGAAGAAAAAATAAATCTCAAAACGATGAAGGACTGTATTGCCATCATTTCCAGCTTTTGAGACTACTCCTTTTACATTTGCATTCATATTTACTAATTAATAATCACTAAATTGGTATGCCTCATTATTTTCTTTCTCTGTGGTAAACTATTTGCTATGTTTAGACTATCTACTCTTAACTGCCTGCCAGTATTAGTGGTATTAGTGGAGATTCAGTTAGAAGTGAACTAGGTTACCAAGCTCATGAAATTAAAAATCATTGGTGCTGAACAGGAAGCATTCCACACTGCTCAATGATGTGAAAGGAAAACAACTTATTAAATTGGGAGGACTCTCATGTGATAATTCCATACTGGATCCTAGAGGAAATTGTGATCTTTGAAATCAACCTATGCTATTCCAAATGATAATTCTGCCATCTTTTAACATACATCTCTGAATTTCATTTTTGGTACTTCAAAAAAATACTGTGTCTACATTGAAAGATTGTTGTTAAAATAATAGATGATATAGGCAGGACATACTATTTCTTGCACGATAGGAAATCAAAAAGGCAACTATGGTTAGCATTACTTTTCCTCTTGTTGTTATTATTGTTTAAAAACACTACCATAAAAATTTTTATTCTCTAGCAACCCTCCTGCAAATAATGAACTATTTGAATGTAAATCTAAATTAATAACTTACTCATTGAGAGAGCAGTCTGATAACAACATCAGATTCTATCGCAGTAAAGGTTAGGAATCAGTGGCTATGTGGTCACACATCAAAAAATTTAGCTTTGAAATCAAGATCTAAACCAATTTTCTAGCTGTACAATTAGCAAACTGTGTCTTTCTACAAAGGAAGGACAATTTCCCATCTGAAAAGTGTGTGTAATATTAGTCACCATAGAATATTTATTTATATACATCTAATTTTAGAACAGTTTTAGGTTCATAACAAAATTGACCCAGGGATGCTGAATCCAATATATATCTGACCCCAACTCATGAATCATGTCCCCCAGTATCAACATCCTATAAAACATCATCTCCTGCCCATAGCTCAGATTCATTATTAGTATTATGCATTGTATGCATTTGGACAAAACCATGACAACATATATTTATTATTTTAATATCTGTTCTATAATACTCTTTTGGCTCAATCTATATATCTGTCCCTATCCCCAACTGCTGCCAAACACTGATCTGGATACTGTCTAAACAGGCTCTAACAAGTTGGAATCCATTAAGATGCAGCATTATCAACTATAGCTTCTGTCTCTTACCAATACACATTTATATTTCCAACATTGTTTTTATGGCTCAGTAGGAGTTTATCTAGGATTGAATAATATTTTATTCTCTGGGCAAATTTATCCATTCATTTGTTGAAAGGCATCTTGACTGTTTCCAACTTTCGACCATTGAAGAAAGCTGCTATAAACATTCCTGTACACGTTTTTTATCTGGAATATATTGTCAATTCCTCTTAGTAAATACCAAACTGTGAATATAACATGCCATATGATAAGACTATCTTCACTTTATCACAAGTTGGAAAAATGTCTTCTGCAGTGACTACATTTTATATCACCAACAGCAATAAATGAGGGTCCCTTCTAGTCTTCATCCCCAGCAACATTTTGTGCTGTGGTGTGTCACCCTGGGATTGACATTGCATGTAGTACTGGCTCATTTTGTGTGTCAACTTGACACAAGCTAGAGTCATCAGAGGAAAGATCCTCAGCTGAGGAAATGTCTCAATGAGATCCAGCTGTAAGGCGTTTCCTCAATTAGTGATCAACAGGGGAGGGCCCAGTCCACAGCGGGTGGTGCCATCCCTGGGCTGCTAGTCCCTGGTTCTATAAGAAGGTGGGCTAAGAAAGCCATTAGAAGCAAGCCAGTAAGCAGCACGCAACACACACACACACACACACTAGTCACCCTCACTAAGACATGTCTTCCTCAATCATGATATATTTAAGCTGAGTGTCTTACTGAACAGTACTTTTTTGGGCTAGCTGGCTTCCAAGATTTCCAGCCTCTTTTTCCTTTATGGAGGGATTACAGGCAAGCCACCATGCCCAACCAACATTTTTTATGCAGATTCTATGAATCTGACCGGTGCAATCTTCATGCTAGCTGAAAGTGCACACTCACTAAGTCATCCCCAATCCCCCTTAATTCCCATCCATTTCTGTGATGACACATGAAGTTTTGCAGCCACAATTAAGGCATGAGACTTCTGAAATTTCTATTGAAGCTTTCACCAAAAATGATTATTAAATACAATTACTATTCTTCCTGGTTTATACCTTTGGACAATAATAAGACAGTCTCCCCTTTGTCAAAATTCTCATTCAATACCCATTTTGCTATTTGTGTCACATAAAAGGACTCTAGCCTTCATCTAACATGCACTTTCCACAGGACTCTCACCACATAATCTGCATATGTCCGGTGGAAACAATTGTTTTTAAATATATTGAATAAATATTTCAAAGATCTCTTATCCATTGAGATGTATATGCATCTCAGAATAGATCGTTTTCCAAAATCTTTCTGATACTATAAATCATTAACTCTCTCTCTCTGTCTCATTCTCTCCCTGTTGGCCTCTGTCTCTGTCTCTCCTTCTCTCTCTTTCTCTCCCCCCTCCCCTAATAAATCCAGCCTACTAAGTAGAGCATAAACTTTAGAATGAGGTGAGTAAATCTGAGTCACAGATCTGCTGCTCTTCACATTGTAAATGAGTAAGGAGTCTCTTGTGTTTTTTATTCTCCCCATATATGAAATGCGGGAAACAAAGAAACTTGGAACATATCACATACATTTCAAGTGTGGGAGTTATTCTTTGATAATAAGAATTAAGCCAATGCTTAGAATTCTAGACAACCTTACATTGTACACATTTCTCCACCCTCATGCACCGGAGAAGTACACTTCAGTAAACTGTCCAATCAACAAAAGACTGTGAAATCCTTGACTTGGTGAAGATTCATCCCTTTTCATTTTGTTCCCCTTTAAAATGAATTATCGATCAAACTTCAAAGATAGTGGTGAAAAATAACTACATGCAAACAAGTATACTTACTTATCTATGCCATAAACAAAGCTTACAGCAATATTCTCCAAGATGACCACAATTAGCAGAGGCAACGTAGCAGAATAATCATCAAACATTGTGACAAAGTAATTTCCAGAACGCTGCACAAATATCAGGCCAATACAAAATGCTAGGAGGCAACAGATAACTAAAGAAAATAAACAAATGAAAAATTAGGCTGTACCTGAAGCCAAGACTATCCTTTATTATGAATCTCTACATTCACTCAACAGTTTCAATTTCCATAATTTGTTATAGGCAACAGCTTCTCTGATTCTGGTTATACTGGGTTACCTTCTACTAAATTTTATAGTGCATAACTGATCCTTAATTCTGCAGAATCCCCCCTACCAAGTACAAATAAATATCTGAGGGGGAAATTGTATGACAATTTTAAAAATAAATATCCATTCCATACTTCCATATTTCTATTATTAATAAACATCTGTAATTTTGAAATCCCTATGCAAGTTTGAATTAAAAATTAGTCTAGTGTGGCTTCTAATGAGATTAGATAAACTTACATATACTCATGTTTGATTAAAATATTAAATGTCATTATACTTTATACTTTTCTTATCAATATAATATGATTGCTTATGTCATTCAGGCATAACAGGAAAAAAATCCAATTAGAAAAAGCTTCACCATCAACGCATAGTTACATATTTATCTTGCCTGAATAGCTTGAGTGTGCAAAGTAAAGTAATGATTACAGGGCTGAATATTCTGATTTTCCAAGGAACAACTATGAAGAACTATCTACACTTGTTTCCTGCTCAACATCTAAGAAATAGGTTCACAATAGGTTAGGGACACTTGTTATTTTAAAAACTTACAGACACATTTGCAATCCAGGTGAGTCTTCTGCACATTTTAAAGCTATTATCTTAGGATTCTTGGCAGTTAACATAATGACTATAGTATATGTCTCAATCCCCTTTTAGCATAGAGGAGTAGAATTAAAAGAGGTGTCATATAGCTCTCTCTACTTCCTCTTTGTGGGTCCAAAAGTGACTTCTCAGCTACTGCTCCAACTACTGCTCCTTCAGGTTCTCTAGCCCTCTGAAACTATAAACCCCAAATAAATTATTTCTTCAGTTAGTTACCTTGGGCATGGTGGATTTTCACAGCATTAGACAAGTAAGCAATCTAGGATACAAATAAATCTACTTTCAGGAGAAGATAAAAATTTAAATGTCGCCAGGCTGTGGTGGCATATGCCTTTAATAATCAGCACTAGGGAGGCAGAGTCAGGGGAATCTCAGTGAGTTAGAGGCCAGCCTGAGCTGCAGAGCTAGTTCCAAGACAGGCTCCAAAGCTACAGAGAAATCTTGTCTCAAAAGAAACAAACAAAAAGATTTATATGTAAAATAGTAAATCCAACTTTTGTAGGACTAGTACAATAAAATAATAATGCTATTATAATATTATAATCTATGATCACATTGATACTATACTAATATAATCCAAGAGCTATTACATATATATCTAATCTCTCAACAGTATAATTGAACTATCGTTCAGGTTGAAAGTCAAAAGAAGCCAGTTGTTGGTTGCATACGTCTTTATTCCCAGTACTTGGGAGGCAGAGGCAGGCATATCTCTGAGTTAGAGACCAGCCTGGTCTACATAGCTAGTTCCTGGACAAGCTCCAAAGCCACAGAGAAACCCTGTCTCGGGATGGGGTGGGGGGGAGACGACGACAAGTCAAAAGAATCTCACCAGTGAGTATTTCCTTCCGCACTTTGAACGTGTCCACTATAGGAGTGATGATACCTTCAATGGTTCCAAACATGCTGCCAAGCCCAAGATTTATCAGCATAAGGAAAAACATCACTGACCAGAAGGGAGATGCAGGGAAATGTGTCATGGCTTCTGTAAAGGCAATGAAAGCCAGGCCAGTGCCCTGCACAGCCTGCAAAACATAGACAAGAGCGGTATTAACTAAGAGCAAGAGCATGGAAGCTTCTATTCATCAGTGAAGGTGGGAAAATCACTAAGCAATGGCCAGAGCGGCCGCAAAGAAATATGCTAACATAAGCTTTTATTCTGTAAATCGTGTTCCCATTCCCAAGACCCAGATTTTGAATAATCACAGAACAAACTATAGTTCAGAGTTGCTAAACAGAATATACAACCACATGGTGTTGCTTATTATTTCAACAATCCTGGAAATATAAAGTATTAGTAAATAAATTATATTTTTAAAATTTTGTTAAGGCATATGAATATAAATATTGATTTATTGTAATAAACACAACACAATACATATTATGTAAGTATCTCTAGCCTATGAAGTAGCTTAGTAAACTGGAATAAAGAAAACAGTTAATAGAATAAAGAAAACAGGTAAAAGAATACAAAAAAGGAATTACTTATTATAGAATGTCAGTATTCAATCTGAAGAAAAATCAATTTCAAAGGGAAAAAACAAGCAAGGCTTTTTTTTTTTTTCTCTGCCTCTCCTCTCCCTCCCCCTCTCTGTTTTTTTTTTTCCTCTCTCTCTCTAATTAGAAAGAGAATGAAAAGAACATGGAAATTGATGAGTGGGGAGTGGGGAGAGCTGGAAGGAGATTGGGGAAGGAGAAACTTTCATCTGGATGCATTGCATGAAAATGCCTCTTTTCCTCCTATTGGGTTCCCTGTCTGGGCTTGAGATGGATGCTTTTACTTTATCTTATCTTGTAGTGTTTGGTTGTTCTTTCTGGGACAGTGATCTTTGCTGAAGAGGAAATGGAGTATATCTGGGGGAGATGGAAGGGGTGAAGGGAACAGAAACTGCAGTCAAGATTTATTGGATGAGAGAAGAATCTATATTCAATGAAAATGCAAAATAAAAAAAGAAAACAGATGTCTTAATAAAAAAAATTAAATTTTTATCTTCTCCAATCTAATATTCTTATATTCTAATGTTCAGAAAAATTGGATTAATTGATAATTTTCATAATCACTGAAACTGCTAGAGAAAAATATTAGGAAAACTCATAAAATTATAGGCATGTACAAAGACTCTCTGAATGGGACTCCATTTGCAGACAAAATAATGCCAACAACTGAAAAATTAAACATCATGGAGTTAAAACAACTGCACAACAAAAGAAACAATCAAGTGACTAGCCAGCCTACAGATGAAAGGTTGCTAGCCGCACAACTGACAGATGATTGATATCTACCATAAACAAAGAGCTTTGGCTACTAAATAACAAGAATCAAAGTACCCAATAAATGAATGGACTCATGAAATGAACAGATAACTTTCAAAAGATGAAGTAACAAACACATGCAAAGAGCTCAACATTATTAGCCATAGCAGAAATGACAATTAGAACTACATTACTATTCCATGTCAGAATAGCAGTCTTCAAAATAATCACAACAAAGACTGGTAGCATTGTAAATAAAAGGATCTCGTACATGCCACTGGCAGGAATGTAACTAGTCCAACCTATATGAAAATCACTATGAAGTTTCCCCCAGAACTAAAAATAGATACGCCATAAAACCCAGCTGTATGGGGCTGCTATTCACTCAAAGAACCCCAAGTTAAGACAGCACAGGCATCCTTGAGCATTGTTATTGTAGTACTATTGACAACAGCTTAGTCATGCAACCAGCAAGGTGCCCACCAACAGAGGAATGGCAGATATATGGTATGCACACACTATACACGATGGAATCAGCTAGTCCTAAAGAGCTGAGTCCCATCTTTTGCAGCAAAGTGAGTGTAACTGGAGATAATCATATCAAACATACTTAGTCAGTTTCAGAAAGACTGATCTTGCATGTTTTTTATTTGTGGTTCCTAAAGAGAGATCGGGTGTGTGTGGTTAGTGGAAAAAGTAACCCATGTATTGATTGGGTTGTCTGGTTCTTATTACTTAGTAGTTGTTTGCATATATGGTGTGTTTTTCTTACTTTTTTTGTCTAACACACATATTAATAAAATAAATTAATACATACAGACATATGTATTAAGTTTCGTGTGCATCTAAAGTATAAACCACATTGCCCAGGGTAACAAAGAGTAGGAGAAGCTATGAAGAGTGTGTATGGGAGGAATCAAACTCCTAAAGAAAACTATTCTTACGTAACTTAGTACTCTACACAATGAATACACAGCCATGGGGAGAAAAACTAAAAAACATTTTAATGAAAAAATGAGGCCACAGATCAGTAGGTGAAATGTTCGTTATACAAACATAAGGATCTCAGTACAGCTCTCCAGCACCCGTGTAAGTCAGGCCTACATTATATGCCATGTGTCTATAACTGCAGTACAGGAGGGAGGGTTTGGTGGCACAAAGAGAAATGACAAGCAGATCCTTGTGGATCACAGTGTCAATTTCCAGGTTCATTGAAACACCCAGTCTCAAGCCGGGCGTTGGTGGCACATGCCTTTAATCCCAGCACTCGGGACACAGAGGCAGGTGGATTTCTGTGAATTCAAGGCCAGCCTGGTCTACAGAGCAAGTTCCAGGACAGGCTCCAAAGACACAGAGGAACCCTGCCTCAAAAAAACAAACAAATAAATACACACACACACACACACACACACACATACACACACACCCAGTCTCAAGTCATGTGATAGAAAATTGACTGATGAGGACACCTAACAACCTATGGTCTCTCTACACATGCCCAACGGGAGATTGGCTGTCACACAACACAACTCCCACACACAATGAAACATGTTATTATTATTTCAAAAGTGAAATCCTAAACTACCTGCAAGGTAATTGTGCTATTTCATTTTTTAAAAAATTGATGAACAAACTAGAAATTATATTTCCTCTTAGAATTCAAAATCATAATTATTTGAGACTTCAATCATAGGTGCCAACATGAGACATTTATGTTGAGTTCCAGGCATAGTTAACCATATTAGAGCAAGTGATTAGTGGGCAATTTCTGTCTTCCTGTTTGGCAATGTGAGTAAATAGTAGCAACCAACAGAAGGACATTTATTACTTTTCTCTAATTCCTTGTTGGTTAAAATAAATTATAGTCTAAAAAAAAAAAAGACATAACCAGAATTTATTGAACTGTCAAAAGAACCCAAACATTATCATTCATTCATTTATCAAAATCTCAGGAGTGAAAATTCAAATTCTTCATTAAATTTTGTACAAAAATTTGTATGGAATTGGTCTTTGTTCTGGAAAGGATATTAATTTACTTATGGTGAGAGTGAACAGTCGTGTGAGCCAATCAATGCGCCTGCTTTTTAAAATGTGAACATCTTTGTAAGTAAACATACTCTATGAGATGCAGAGTTATCTGAGAATTTTGAAACTGCATCCCCAGGCTTTTTGCAACCCACTTTGCTGAAAAAGGTCTTTTGGATGATGCATACTTGAACTGAATAATAATTGCATGACTGCTCAGACATGGCTTACTAACTTTATTTAGCTCATCCTCGATTTGACAGGAGTTGAGATGAAGAACGGCAAACTCCTCTTCCTTTACTTTCCGGATGATGTCATAAACTAAATGATAATCTTCCGCCGTGATAGCTGAAAGGTTAATGTGATGGGGAATGACATCCCAACTGATGTTTCCCATTTTCAAAAATTTCAAGATCGCCTCAGAATTTCTGAAAAAGACAACAGAATGAGAAAGAGCTCGCCGGTTCTTCGATGCATATTTTGTAGAGAAGCATGCAAACAGAATGAGAAGCACATGGAAATTAACTGTCCTTACTGGGAAATGCATCGTTCGTTTACGATATTGGCTTTGAACCCCAGGACGGCAAACACCACCAGTGTTGCCAGGACAGAGGTGAGAAAATTGATGAAGGACACTAGGACAGCATCGAAGTGGCAGTTGTTGCCTCTCTTGTTGTAGCTCGAAAAGGCGATGACTCCACCAAATCCCAGACCCAAGGCAAAGAAGACCTGAGTCGCTGCCTCTCTCCAGACTTTGGGTTCCAGCATGATTTCAAGCTGCTCGAAATTAAAGAAAGCAGAAGTCATCAATACGGTCTACGTGCTGAGCAAGTCACTTCTACGGGATTATACCACTTCAATGTAGATAGACGATATTGGTGAATCCAGATGCTAGTTGAAATGGCGAAACAAACTACCCCTTAGGAATAAGTATTTTTTTTTCTAGAAAATCAGCTAAGAAGATAATAGGAACTACTATCAAGCCCTTATTTCCCCCTTATAAAAGAACTTTTCAGTGTTTTCAGATAAGACATAACAGGAGATGGCGACATAGAAATAACTGGCCTTTAATCATTTCCCATCATATATCTTTCTTGGTCCTTTCCATAGCATAATACATCAGCTGCCAACACAAAGTGGAATAATGACATCACACCACAGTCCTCTCAAGTTTTGAGTATTCTGCTAGAAATCTAATATAATTGGAATGATTGGGCTGCCACTATACCTCTCCATTGGTATTATTCATTCACTTTAAAGTTTCCTGAAGGTCATTTCTTTGAAAATAGAAGGAAGTCTATTGCATTATGAGCATTCTGAATGGGCAAACACATTTCATGAGGGTTTGCCTTACTTCTTTGAAAAATCATTAAATCTTTCAAGAATGTAATTAAGCAGTTAACTGAAAAATTAATATTACCTGCAATTGACATGAACCTCAATATTAATTAACTTCATTTCCAGTCCAAAAAAAAAAGTTTAATTGCTATTTTTTTTTTTCCTCTCACGCATCAAGGTCAAATTGTCTCTATTGAGAGTAGTATCAAATGGGGGGAGGGTAAGAATGTGAATTGTACCAAATTTCAGACACAGATGCTGCCACTAAGTCATTTCATGAAAGTGGAAGCCAAGGAAAATCATGGTTGTCTGCACTCTGCTTTTTCAATAGAAAGGTTAACAACAAAATTATTGCCACAGCATTAAACAAAGTCAGTGTCCAATGTTGATAGCGAATGAACATTATAGTGACAAACACAGATAAGTACTTTGCATGTGTCTTCTTCTCGTTTAATATTCACAGGAGCCCATGTAGTTGCTGAGTCTGTGATATGAGCCTTTGGAAAGATGTCCCTAACATGTCAGATAAAGATGACCACACATGTCAGAGGCGAAAATAAATAGTAATATTTGTGGCCTCTAAAACTTCTTCTCTCCCTCAAATATTGGGATGTACTACCTCAGTTAATTTTAATAAGCATTACTTTTTAATACTTTATGAAATATTGTTATCAAACATAACGATATTTTTAGTAGTCAACTAGTATGTAGAGTATTTCTCCAAACACACTGACGGTGTGACCACTAGATGGCAGAAAAGAGTCATTTCTGAAGAAGTCATTTCGCCTGCTTCCAAACTGCGAGGTGAATTTCCCCTTGGTGTTTGAGGGTGCTTTGTATGCTTAGACACTTTCTTTCATACAAAAGCAATGTAAATTATGAGTAACTTACAGCAGCTGTGTCTTATTGATACTCAAGGGGGACCTGCCCTTTCCTGGATGGAGATGGAAGAGGAGGGGATTGGGGGTAGGACAGGAGTGGGGAGGGAGGGGGGGAGAATGGGGGAGATGACTAAGAAGGAAGGGTGATGGGAGGTAGAGGGGATGGGCTGTAGTGTAAAACAAATAGATGAATAAACAAATAAATAAAGTGATGTTTTAGATTATAGAAAGAAAAAAAAAAAACTAACTTATGCTCAGGTGTGGTTAGCTGGCAGCTCATGCTTGCTACCCCAGCACCTGGTGGAAACAGGAGGCCTGCCATAAGTTTGAGGCCAGCCCATACTAAATCACAAACCTTCAGAGACTATACAATGGCACCCTGTGTGAAAATGAACAAACAAAAAGTATGTTAAAATTATTTTAATCCTTATATCGACACTCTAGATCAGTGGCTCTCAGCCTTCCTAATGCTGAGCCCTTTTAATACAGCTCCTCATGTTGTGTGCATGACCCCTCCCAACCATACAATTTTTTTTTTGATGCTGTTTCATAACTCTAACTTTGCTAATGTTATGTATCAGTGTGTAAATATTTTTGGAGACAGATGTTTGCAAAAAGGATCAAGACTCACAGCCCTAGAATAAACTAATACCGTTTTATCAGCAGCAAATAGGAAGTTAGCTGAAAAGAAAGGAAGAAAAGGGAAAGAAAAGAAACTAAAAAGAAAAAAATACAAATGCTAATTTATGCTGAAATTAAAAGCTTGATCGACATAACTGTTCTATCAATTCTAAATTATGTACTAAAGTCAAATTCCACAATTGCGTGACAACCAGTTGTGAACTCAGAAAGTAATTACAGTTCAGAAATGAACCCAGAAGAATTCACGGCTTTGAACTCGGGAAACATTTTCTTCATGGCTCTGAATGTAAACTTTTTTACTCATTGAGTATGTGGGGCTTGAAGCGGATTTTAATTCTACGGTGGGTGAAGTTTATGAATCTGAAGCAGTGTTCCACTGCAAGTTCTCAACGGCTCCAAATGCTAAGAGCACTCTCGGGCTCAAGAAGAAAACCAGACGCCCACGTCAGCATTTTTGCACCCACCAAATGAATACAAACTCAGAACCAGACATGCAAAGAACACAGCTTCTTTTCCCTCCTAACGAGGCAGCTGACAAAGAATTCCACAGAAGCTAATCCCTTCTGACCCTGCTTATGGGACCATGCTTACAGGACCCTACCCTAGCTCCGCAAACACCCACCAAATACCCTCCAGTGCCGAACTATTTTAACCGCATGCTATGACCTCCTTATCAGAGTCCTAACAAGCTAATGGCGTGCTGAAACTTCGCTTGGGTGAATCATGAAAACACGCATACTCCCGAACCCATTTCTGTTTTCTGTTGAGTCAAAAAATAACGAGGCATGATTAAGTCTGTAAATTAGCTATGAGTAACCGGGGTCAAGATAAACAGCAACAAGCTTAGCGCTACTCAATAGAATAACAGTATGAGTTTCAAACCCTCTGTGAAGTTAATGGAAAATTCCCTGATATGTGCACATGTCTATAAAAATTACCAAGCTTACCACTATACGTATGACTGCAGAGGGAGCAAAACATTCCCATGAAAACACTAATTCTCCTTGAGACAGTATTCTAGAAAACAGTAGGGTCGTTCCCCAAAATCTGGATTTTAGATTATCTGTAATCTGCACACATGGGAGATTAATATTCCATTAGTTCTTGTAGCTGAAAGATACTGTTGTTGATGTTTCAAATAATCTGTGATGAATCACTCAACTGGAGGGCTATGAGCAAACTTGCCCAGACTTGTGTGTGTAAAAAAAAAAAAAAAAAAAAAAAAAAAAGCTGTTTCATGAGTAGAGAATTCTCTAAAAATCTAACTCAAGTACCAGGACGGTATGTTTTAAAAGTTGGAGACCAGATGTAATTGGTGATACAGAAAAGCCACCTTTCTGGAGTGGTCTACATTATTTGTCAAAACAGTTAGCCTTCAAATATAGCTGTGGGTACATTCTTATAATAAATATAATGGAAAATAAGGTACATACCTTAGGGGTGAACATGTGTCGGATGCCATCAATTGAACCATTTAAAAGGAGAGATCTGACTAGGAAGCAGACGAGCACCACGTAAGGGAACAGAGAACTAAAATACATGATCTGTGAACAAAGAAAATGGCAATAGTTGAGGCAGACTAATGACTATTGTTACAACTGAAACTACACTCTTGAGAGCCACTGTTTCTGTGGTGGTAACAGCATCATTAGCAACTTCTAAAGCCACCTTTTAAGGGAACCATTCTGAACTTAGCCTTCCTTGCGATCTTATTTGAGATCTTGTTGTCACTGAGTATGGGAGAATTGAAGCGGATTTTAATTCTAATTCATATTGTATATTTATGGGTGCAGCATGATTCAATACATTTATAAAATGCTTAATAACAATTTTAAGATAATCAACATTTTTGCCTTGCGAACCTTTAAGCTCATCTCTTGTAATTATTTTAAGATGCACAATAAATAGTGGTCAACTATATTCACCCCAGTAAAATACAGACTGTTAGATTTAGTTCTTCCTTTTGTCTTTTGGGTTATTGTTCAACAGTTATTTATCCATCTCTTCCCTCCCCAGCTTCTAGAATGGCCACTCTTCTGCCCTCTACTTTTAGTTAGCCAGGCAGGGAAGCACATAGAATTTGTCTTTCTCTTGCATTATTTCTCTCATGTTCCATCTGTGTTACTGTAAATGATAGGATGTCATCCCATTTAGTAGATGAATAGTATGTGGGGCGCACACGAGCAGGCAGGTGTGTGTATATTTTCTTAAAAATACAAAATATTTACCATCAATGCTACTTCAAATAACACTACTAACTCTGCTCAATGGTTGAATAATATATCATTGTGTGTCTGCACAGAAAAACTTTGACTTAACTTCCCTTGAATTGTTGCACAAATACGGTGTAGGGTTAATGCCGTTAATTATTTTTAAACACATGTTTAAAAGCAATATTTAGGAAAGAAATGAACAGGCATAAACTCCCTAACAAGTCTTGATTCCTGTTTTATACATATTTTATGCAACGTTTGATGATGAGTATGTAAAGCTCCCAACATACTGAGTAATCTTTAGGCATTGTGTACACGATAAAACCTTTAACCTTTTATTTCTGCAATGTTAGCCTCTAAGGAACTCAGCAAATTGCTATCACCCAAAGGAGCCACTTGACCCAGGCCTTAACCATCTCCTTGACATCTCCAGGTGGAGGTCTATCACGTATAAAACTCCCCCACTGGAAAAGCAAACTTCTGAATTTCTCTCTAAGTTATGTTCCCTCTAATTCAGAAAGTGGCCCCGGCCACTCAAGTTGCTGAAGTCATACGTGCAGAGCTGTTCAAGACAATCTGTAACATACTCACGGTTTCCACATCAGCATCCCAGCCATTGTCCGCTAAATGCACCAGAGAGTTCCTAATAGCACTGAACCAAATGCTAAGGGTCCTCTGCCCTGGCCATCTTTAAACTACTACTCTCCTCCTGCAGAGCTCAGGTCCTCATGTCCTTACCACCTGGTAGGTGCAGCAAACTCAGCCTCTGACCCCGTAAGCACACCACCTCGTCTTCACTACTCGCAAAACCATCCTCTTCCTGAGCACCCTAAAAAAGACTGCCCCCCTTCCTCCCCCAAACTGAATCCACTAGCTGCTAGTACTTCTGCCACAGTAGAGGTCATGACATCTCTTTGGGGATAGTACCATTAGGATCGGGTATGTCTGTGGCAGCGTATAGCACGCTGAAGTTACCTTACTTGAGTTCCCTTGTGTGCTGTTCACTCTGCTGTTATTATAAGCTCTAGGGTAGAGGGTGATGTCTTTCCTGTTCACTAACAGATCGTGAACATTTGCAGACACAGAATAGCTATACAATTCGTGTGTGAAAGGAAAGGGAGGGAGGCTGGGAGAATAAGGGGGAAACTATCAAAGCAGAGGAGTGCATCGGATGTGTGAATCAATAACTATAAGGAACTTTCAATAGAAAGATGATTCTTGTATGTGCTTCCTCCGCTGTTTATCCTCTGAGAATCATACTTAAACATTCCAAAGATATCAGGGATAAATTAGCTCTATGTGTAGAATGTTAGTATATTAAAATCAGTGGTTTAATAAAAATAGTTCTATCTTCATTAGTGAAAACAAACATTTTCTGTAATCTTAGACTGGCCTCTACTTGGATGATATGTTTTCCCTTGTATTTCCTGGTTTCTCCTTAGTAGGATGCTTTCAGAAGTGGAGGTTACTTTTATGGTTATCTCTGATGACTTCAGCATTCTTTAGGTCTGCCCATCCCCTAAGAGTCGTTTGACTGTAGTTCTGCACAGTTTTGAGGCTACCAAAAGCATGGACTCCTTTTTGCACATTTCTTAAATCAAACCCAATTTGCTGCTTCCTAAGTGACGTAGGAAGGACTTTCCCGATTCTCACTTGGTTTATTTCCTGCTCATCTTTCCTCCAGCGTCTCCCTGTTAGGCCTCCTCTTCATCACAGAGATTCGACATCCATGACTCTTCTGTATGGAGTTTTCTAGAAATCTGATGGTATTGCTTGCTGAACTGATAAAAATCTTCAGATCTTTGAAGTATTGACTATATGACAGTCCATTGTTTTATCAGTTTCTGCAGACACTCCATGGACATCAGCAACCAGCCCTCCCACTACACAAACTGCATGTTAGAGTTACACAGGACCATGCAGCATCCTCTAGGCTTCATGTATGTTTGATTCTGTGCCTGCAATGACCTCCTTCTGATCCTTCAGGTGAACTTTACTTCAACCATGTTAGCATGGCCTAAAATTACCCACTTTCTGAAGCTTCCCAAAATTCAGGCTAACACAATGGCATATTCTCTTTGCCTTCATTACCATACTCAATACAGCAATTAATCTGCCTGGCTCCTTACATTATGGCCTTTATGGAGGCATAAATTGCTCTACTAATATCTATATTCGCTAGTTCACGACATACAGTAGGTCATCAAAACTACTGTACATTAAAAGAGAATTTATAGAAAGTTAAGTTTAGTTTGCACACACAAACTACAGTATCTTTATTCTATAATATTAAGTTGTATTCTAATTATGTGTGCCCAATTATTTTCACTTTCCTTAATTAGTTCAATGTACATTTGTGTTCTTAAATAAGCTAATCTGAATTTTGTGATAAGAGTTTAACATGCATTCTTAAGTTAAAAAAAACAGAAATATTTCAAGTTTATAATGTGAAAACAAAGTCAATATTTCAAACAGATGGATAGTACTAAGTATGCCAAACACTTAAATATATTCTTCTCTAAGCAAAGAAAGGTTCCTATATTCAATTCTAAAGAGTTAAAAGAATGTATCTTAAGGTGCAAAGTCTTTACATTTACACAAACAGCTATATTTTTATAGCAAAATCTTGTATGAAGTTACAAGGGTGTTCAATTAAATCTGCCTGTATATACCACAGACTCATATGCATTGGTATCTGAAATCTCTTTATTGTACATAGCCATCTAAAACTCATGCATTGCATACACTGGCATTGTACATTTATACCTGGAATTATTTTACAAATTTGTGGATTGTTCCTGCCACTAGAATGGAAACTTCCTAAGTTCAAGCTTTGTTTCTTGCTGCACTGAATCTGGTAAGTACCAAATATTCAATACTTTTGTAAAATAAATAGATGAGTGGATGTGTCCATGAGGCTTTTGTAGTCTAGGAAGCACATATTATTTGAGTAAAGAAAACAGATACATTCCTTTGTTTAATTTTGAGCCTCCTTAGAGTTGTCAACCAAAATACTTTTCACAGCAATTTCACTAAGTAAAATATTACTTTATCAGCCATGATATTAAATAGGATATTTTCATGTTGTTACACAACTAATGTTTAGAAAAAAAAAAAAATATATATATATATATATATATATATAATCCCGATTGTTTTTTCTCTTTATCTTAAAATGCTTATTATAAACACACATTCAAAAGGAATTTTACTTCTGCAGGCTTGATGGCCTGGCTTTAGTTCCGTGGTTTATTAGTTACTTAATTCAGGACAGCTAACATGCTCCTGAACGACTTGGTGGTGAATTACAGATAAAAAGTATGACTTGTTTGGCTTTCAGAATAAAGAAAGCAGTGTGTGCAATGTATTCAACAGAGCAATGCATTAATAGTGAAGAAATGACAACAAGAAACATCACCCTGGAGCTAGAAGCAAGTTGATAAAACTTCATCTCAGTCTTCTATTCTGCGGGGGGGGGAGGGCAAGAATTTCATAAGATGCTGGAACAAAGGATCATAAAGCCCCTGAATATAGCCAATGCTACTCAGCAGTCTATTATGGGGACAATTAATCTTACTGTTGCCAAGCATCGTCCCTAAATGGTTTTCCACTCTATTCCCTCTACAGTCTGATACTGGGACACAGTCCCGTGCTTTGCAGCTTTGCTGCTGTGGGTTTGTTGGTTGTGATCACAGACCAACAATTGCTCTCCTCCATAATATAAAAGACCTCAGAATTGAGTGCTGCAGCTGCATTTTGAGAGATTACCAACATCCTCCTCATGTCACTCATGTGGGTGCCAGTTAGCGTCTCCCACTCTCCATCCTGACTCTGTTGGTATGTTGAACACACACACTATATAACAAATCCTCATCTTCCAGCTGGGGCTTTCCAGTGACAAGCTGCACATGCTAGACACCCCCCCCCCAGCACTCTTCTCCACCTGACTAACGCTTACAGAGCTCTTCATTTGGAAGCTTTAGTTTGATTTTTTTTTTTAATACACATACAGAGATTTACACCCATCCTTTACAATTCCCCTCTCACTCTGTTGGCCTCCTTACTATTCCATACTAAAGAACTGTGTTGATTTGGCATTCGTATCTTTTCTCATGTTCCTTACAGCTAGCTTTTGCCCCATCTGTACTGTTAAATCACTTTGGGATGAGGATGATGGCTTAGTGGTAGAGACACTGGATTTTATTAGAGCATCTAATACAACATGACACCTGTCCTGTTTCAAATTATGCCTCAATGTCACCCTCTCGCTAAGGTCCTCTCGTTGGAATAGTAAGTCACAGGAACTCCATAGCTTGTACTCCATTCTACCGATGACTTTTGATTGCATGATGTTACAGAAAAGCATCTCTGGGAGTACATCTCAAATAGTCTTGTCAGAAAAAAGTTGTTAAAATATTTGATGTGATTGATATGTTAATTAGCTCATACTGATTTATACATTTTCCTCAGAAGCTGTAACATCAGCTGTGTATTACACACATGTATACAACTGTAACTTGCAAATATACCATAATAGAAACTAGTATATTTTTTAAAAAGAAATTATCCTCTATGTGACAATAATACACAAACTCAGAAACCTTCAGCAAGCTCGATCATGGCAGCTTTTAAATCTCAATGGCCAACCACATGACACTGCAGTAGCAATTACATGCTTGTGATTAGACCTGGCTTAACAACTTCTTCCTTTATTTACAATATAACTTCAATGACGCCTACGTAGTCAAAGTGCACTCAATCAAAGCAGTGTCAAAAATTACTGAGTTGTCAAACAACAACATTTATAGAAGATTTAAAGACATTTAGTTGTGTTAGCTATTATGTTGACTTATTCATACGCAAAATAATGTAGCAACTACAACAGGAATGTAAAGGTCTGGTAAACTGTAATTTACAGCATAAAATGTCATCAGTATTGTTATTAAATCAAATTAGTAGGAAGCAAAGATGATCCACACCAACTTCTGCCCACTCTCATCCCCATGCCCAAGTCATCATTTGATGGGCATAAATATGATACATACTAAGAGACAACACAGAATGGACCATACAATTCCTGAAAGGAGGAAATGGTACAAAACAAATGAATAAAAAGGTAAATTATTCATTCCATCAATTTCCATGACTGGAGGAGACTTGTAGTCAGAGGATTAGTAGATGCTGAACAATTAGCAAAATGAACAGATTTTCAAATACTGAAGGGTTTTGTAAAGAGAATTTTTTTAGAACAAATAGATATTATAAATGATATTAAATATCACTACAAAACACTTCCCTTATTGCTCATCTCCTTTTTTAAGACACATTTTTTTTAAAGCATCACTTTGGGTAAATACCTAGAATGAAGGTTTACAAGCAATTTGTTAGCTGAATTTTGGGGTATAGCTGCGAGGGATTGGCAGTACCCAGAATGGTACTTGGCAGAATCAGGGGAGATTCTAGCATACTAACTTTTCCAGAAGACTGGATGCCTTTGATCATGGCCAGACAAACCATGACCCAGGCAGCCAGCAAGCAGCCAGCCATCTTCCAGTTCAAGCCTCCACTTTCTGAGATGGTATTGGTGATATCCAATGCCTCCCTGTACCAGTAATATGTGGTGGCGGAGCTTTTCTCACACTCTGGCTCAATATCTGTGGGAGGGGGAGAGAGAGAGAGAGAGAGAGAGAGAGAGAGAGAGAGAGAGAGAGAGAGAGAGAGAAGATGCTCAGTAAAACCCATTAGCAGATTCCCTAGAGAAACATTAACCTGAAAACAGCAGTCACGTTCACAATGAAAGACAAAAATATGTAAAGTTGGAGAAACCAGGAATCAAGAATTGCTGAGGAATATGCGAACTTATGGAAATAATTAAAACAAGTAATTTACATTTCCCTTCCCAGACAGACCCATAGCACACTAACACAGAACAGTCAACTTTGATAGCTGCTGGCCAAAGGGATTTTTTTGGAGAGCAGAATGAAATGGCATGTGCTGTTGTTAATGGAAAATCAAACAGGATTTTCAGAGCTGCTGCATGAAAACTAACGTTAACTATCATGCTAGCAAAACAATATTTTCATATGTTGCAAGTTAAAATGGTAATCTTTTGTATGTACTGGATTAAATGAAATATTTCACTTGTTCTCTTCCTTAAAGGTGACTAACAGAAACATTTTAACTACATAAATGAGTTATATTCTATAGAAAATGTTTCATCATATTCTAAGGTTTTTTTTTTTTTTTTAAGGAAAAGCAAGTGGGAGCTGCTAAACTCTAGATTGACAGCTGGGGAACCTGCATGAGACTGAACTAGGCCCCCTGGGTGTCAGTTGGGGGGCGTGAGGCCCCAGGCAATGGAACCAGTATTTATCCCTAGTGCATGGACTGGGATTTTGGAGCCCATTTCCTACAGAGGGATACCTTTTCAGCCTAGATACGGGGGTGGGGGAGTGGGGGGAGGGTGGGGAGGTGGAGGGGGATGGTCTTGGTTCTGCCCCAAATGATGTGACCAACTGTGATGATTCCCTCATGGGAGGCCTCATCCTCTCTGAGGAGTGGATGAGGGGTGGGATGGGGAGATGATGGGGGAAGTGGGAGGATGGAGGGAGAGGAAACTGGGATTGGTATGTAAAATAAGATTGTTTTTAATTTCAATAGCATTTGTTGTTTAAAAAAACCGAAAAACTACAAAACAGTATAACCTAAAGCATAAAAACATGACAAGTTCAATTCAAATCAGTGTTTTCCTTCCTTTCATGGGCTTTAATGAAACTGGGGATTCCACAGGGGTGTACAACAGAAAGCTCGCAACCTTATAGCCCTTTAACCAAAAGCCTTGTGTACACCAAATCTGAAAAGAGTCAGGCAGGCAAACTATATGAGGCTCTGTCCATCTCTCTGGTTGGCTTGTTCCTAATATTGAAGCAGGCCGAAGGAAGTCTGCTATGATGCTTGTTACTGATCTTTCATTTAGTTTGTTTGCTTTTGTTGTGTTGAGTTGTGTTTTGTTTGTTCCCACCCATCAGTTTCTAAAAGGCAGAACAGAAAGTCTGTGCCTTTGCCAATTTTTAGATTGTTCAATAGAAGAAAACAAGGGAAATGTATCTTACAAGGACGGGATGCGTTTTTCACCAACGGGCACTGATCCCAAGGAAGAGGTTGTTGAAAAGACTGAGAGAAATAAAACAATGTCCAGCCAATGATGACATTGTAGTAAAGGGCCACAAAATAGCACACCTGCAAAACAAACAAACAAGCAAATAAAAGAATATAGTTATATCTTGCATCCTCTGCCACTCCCTTTAAAACAATATTTAATTCTTGATCTAATATTTTTTTCTTATCTGAAGACATTGTCTTTTCTTTAAAATACTGTTTCTGAGTTGAACATTATTTTGTTTGTTTTTTAATTTTTTTATTATTCTGTCTTCTTCTTTTTAAAACAAACAATCTGAGTTAACTTTAAAAATACATTGCAAAATGAAGTTACTATCAGTAGTCATAGATGATTGTGTATGGTGCTCTGTGTCCCAGAAGCTTCTAAAACATGACACAAAGGCTTGGAGATCACAGAGATGAGGGTTAAGTTATTCCAAAGCAACAAAGGTCAGAACAAAGCCAGGGGAGGAAACTTACTACACAGCTTGCGAATCCAATCCCGCCCAGTTTAGGGCTTATGTAATTCCAAACCCCGATGCTGCCTCTCCGAATTCTTTGACCCACAGAAAGTTCCAGAAAAAAGAGAGGGATTCCTATTACCAGGAGGAGTATTAAATATGGCAAAAGATATGCACCTGGAAAGACAAGGACAGGCAGAATGTATGCTATTTTCAATAGTCATAGTAGAGTGCACATGGAGTCTAATTATTTAATGAAAGACACTATTTGAATTCTTTGAGAAAATATCACTGATTTTCAAAAGTTTGAATCCTGGATTCAATTGCTCTAAGAGGCCCACAGTCCAGCTAGATGGCTCCATGGCTGGAACCCTTGCTGCCCAAGTCTGGTGACATGAATTTGATTCCCTGAACCACAGTGGAAGGAAAGAAAACTGCCCTGAAACCTCCTATGAACTCTGCATGCATGTCCCCTCCCGCAACACACACACACATATGCACCACACACAAACACACGCAGAGAACACAATAAACAAGTTTAAAATGTTTAAAAAGTAGTTTATGGTAGAATAACGCTGGTTAAAAGGAGTTATAAATAACCCCATTTTCATTTTGTTGAAAAGGTAAAATAGCTTCATTTGAAAATAAAGGATAAGCCCTTTGAAATAATTATCTCAGTCAATAGACTTCACAAACTCAAATCCGTCTTCACATAGCACTTACAAATTCATTTACTGAATACTAACCTAAACTCATTTAACTCCTGCATTCCAAAAGCATGAAGTGAGATCAGTGGCATTTGACAAGCTAAAATTTTTTGCATTCTAAATAAAGTAATGCCAAAGGAGAGCAAATACCTAGTCTGGAAGACAGAAAAAGAAAAATAAACAACTTCTAACAAAGATAGTATGGTATTTTTTCACATGCATCACATATAAAAAGTTCACTCCGGGAACCATATGCTTTTTGTTTTCTAAAATTATGAAGAAGGATGCACAGAGTGCTTGAAAAGAGTAAAACAAACCTACTTTATATCTTCCGTCAAATTGTATGTACTGCTGATTCTGTAGCAAAACATTCATAGTTAAAGAAATAACTACTTTCCATCAAAATCCCATATAACTAACGATTTGCAAAGCAACAGAAGAGCTGAGTATCTTTTTTTAATTGATTGATTGATGGGATAAAGAAATTATGTACATTAATTTTTATGTGAGAACATTGCAAATGAGTGTGAAATGACCTACACACGGGACTTCATGCATTCAAATTGTGGCGGGCAGCCTAGCCCTGGGTTCATTAATAAATATACCCTGTCATAAAGGAATAAGGTGGAGAGTGAGTGACAAAGCAGGACACTGAATGTGCTCATCTGCCCTCCATGGGTGCACAGAAACACAAATCTACACAAATGCAAGCAAACCACACACAACGCAAATACACACACACACACACACACACACACACACACACACGGAGCATGTTACAATTACTAGCTTCATTTTACAAGTGTGGAAACTGAGTATGAAGAAATGAGCTACAGAAATGTCACATGGCTTGAAACAGAGTAAAGAACTAGGTTTCCAACTGTCGGAGTGTAGCCTAAGATTTATTAAGTGTGGCAGTATGTGGTAATGTAATATCTACACAAATCAATGTTATAAACTACTTTTTCTGTTATTCAGAAAACGCTTCAAATGATTCATGAATATGAATAAGGGGTTTTGTTTGTTTTGTGTTTGACTAAGATACCCCTCAACTTTCTAGAAATCTATGCTACACAGTCCTTGTCCTGCGCCAATCCAGCCTATTTCTCATGAGACATGCAACACTTCTCTCTATTTTCATTTGTAGGTGAGAAATAAATAGTAGAGAAAATATTTTGAATTTTACTTTTATCAAAATAATAGGTAGAGGTGTGTGTCTTGCTACTAACTACTAGTTAAACTTCTAATACCTGTCTAGCAAGGCCAATGTCTTACTAAAAGGAATGAAAGTTGACTTTAATCTGAGGCTGCCTTCATCCTTATGCCTTCATCCAGTAAGTTGTAGAAAGGTCTACCAATCTCAGAAAAAACAAAACAAACCCCCCCCAAAAAAAACAAGCCAGCCAGCCAGCAAGTAAGCAAACTATCTTGAAAAACAATCACATGCAGGTACTAATCTCTGACACCATAAATACTTCCCATGTGATATTATCAACTTATTAGGGAATTACTGTTTTATGAGCAACACATAGTGTGCGGCTCTCTTCCTGTAAAATTGAATTCTTAGCTCTCAGACAAGTCTGTTAAATGGTTTTGGCCCCAAGCCTCATACTGTGTTCCTGGTGGAATTATCTAACCATCTCAAATATACTTTAATCAACACAATACCTTGGAGTTTATCTGAGTAACTAAGAGACAAATTGCATATGAATAGTTCTATTCATTTGACATGGTGTGTGTAGATCATAATTACTGTGAAGCAAAACCATATTTTTTTCAGCCAACCAAACAAGCATAGACCAGAATAAAATATCAAAATACTCCTTATAATATTTGGTGATAAAATGTGTACAGAATATGTACGTTTGGGTTTGTTTATGTATGGGAACAGAAGTTCACTGACATGTACATGAGCACGTAGAGACTAGGAGTCAATTTCAAGTATCTTCGTCTATCAAACAAGGTCTCTCACTGAAACTGGCACCAATTTTGTTTAACTGGCTGCTAGCAAGCCTCAGGGATTTGCCTGACTCCCTGCCATGAGAATTATGGTTACAGAATCCAGACTCAAAGCTTCGAGTTTGCACACAGCGTAATTTTCCTATTGATCCATCTTCCCAGCTCAGAATATGTACTTATATCCATACTTACTTCAACAGACTCTATATATACATCTATTATAAAATTTCAAAACAATTGGCTTTTCTCAATTTTTTTTTCCTTTGAGCTAGAAATTGAGTCTGTGATTTCATATATGTCAGAAAATCATTTCACTCTTGAGACACATCTAGAGTTCTTTCAGTATGTATGTATGTGTGTATGTATACACTCACACACACACATACATATATTTGTTGTTTGAGACAGGGTTTCTTTGTTAAAGCCATAGCTGTTCCTAGATGTACAGGAACTTGCTTTGTAGACCAGGCTGCCACAAACTCAGAGATCCACTGGCCGCTGGCTCTTGAGTGCTGGGATTAAAGGCATGTACCACCATGCCCAGCTTTTGTACAGGAATTTTATGACAGTTTTATTCATTTTAAAACACCGATAATTATGTGCCCACTATACATAGTAAAAGTGCTGATAATGGCAAAACTATTTTTGTTTAAAATTAAGAGTATTCTCTTTTGTGAAGTACTTGTTGAGGCTGGACAGCATTCCAAAGTATTACAGAACTGCGATCGATGGTGTAAAAAATCTCCAAAGCAAAAAGAATGACTGGCATTGTGATAATTATCTGGTTCAACACCTTCTCATGAGTCCTAAGAGTGCTACGCCGCATTTAAAAGACCATAATCATTCTAAATTACATGTTAGTTCTGCATTTGCTAAAGAATGAACAATTTAAAATTCAGAGGTAACAAGTCACCAAGAGAGCATCCATACTCGGTCAATGTTGTTGGCTTTAGATTCTTACTGAAAGCTAAAGTCTGTGGTCCACAAAAGGACTTTGGGAGCACATTCCCCATAGAGGGATACTCCCTTAACCTAGAGGCAGGAGGGAGGGCCTAGTCCCTACTCTAAATGACTTGACAGATTTAGATGACCCCTCCTGGAAGGCATCACCCTACATGTGGAGTAGGGGGCGATGGGAGGGGAATAGGGGACATGGGAGGGTGGGAGAGAGGGAAAGAGGGAGGGAGGGAGAGGGAACTGGGGAGAAAAGGAAGAAAGAAAGGCAGAGAGAGAGAGGAAGGGGGGAGAGAGAGAGAGAGAGAGAGAGAGAGAGAGAGAGAGAGAGAGAGAGAGAGAGAGAGAAGAAAAGAAAGTCTGGCACGCAGAAAGAACATAACCCATGTTAGAAAAGTTCCCCTCCATACTTCAGCAATGTTTACAGTATCCAGGGAAGAAGTTTGAGAATGTGTTACCTTAAGAAATCCCTGGGTATTTGTAGGACGCCAATCTGTTTCTCTGGAAACTTAATCTGAACACAGAGCTGGGCTTGTTTCCCACATGTGAGTCTCCCTACCTTTTCAAGGGAAGTGACAGTTTCAGAAATAACAATGCCGTAGTAGCATTAGGAGCTATCTGAAATAACGAACAGTAATTTACTAGTGCTTGTATGGCAAACAAATGCAACTTACCACCGCCGTTCTTCTGACATAGGTATGGGAATCGCCACACATTCCCCAGGCCTACAGAAAATCCAACTTGAGCCAGAATGTATTGCAGCTTACTGTTCCAAGCTGGCCTTTCATCATCAGCTTCAGATCCATCTTCAGCATCTGTATCTTTCTCTTCTTGAACATCCACGATTAGTTCACTCTTCTTAAAAGCATCTTCAGGTGAGTCTTCATTGGACAGAAGGTCCTTGACAGACTCAATGACCTCATCATCTAAATCTCTCTTTACCACTTTGCTATTCTTAGGCATTGGAAAGTGCTCTTTTTAAACACGCCTTTGAGACAAATATATTTTTAAATGTTATTTAAAATGAAGTAAATCTGAGATGATTATCATATAAATCCTTGATTCAAGGTGAGGAATTCTTAGGGATCCTGGCTCTGATCCCAATACTCTGTAGATACCTGTGAAATGAAAAGTTGAAATGTGATCTTTAGTAATGAAATATATCAACAATACGTCAAAATCCTTTCCTGTTCATTTTTATGGTTCAGTAATTTCAAAAGTATTTGAACTAGAATGAGTATGAGTTTCACACATATTTCTTTTAGTTAAATTCCTCCTTGAAAAACTACACTTTGAACTGAGCATTGGTGGCGCACGCCTTTAAGCCCAGCACGCTGGAGATAGAGGCAAGTGGATTTCTGTGAGTTTGAGGTCAGCCTGGTCTACAGAGCTAGTTCCAGGACAGGCTCCAAAGCAATACAGAGAAACCCTGTCTCGAAAAACCAAAAAATAAAATAAAACTGTTCATTAGCATTCTTGATTTCTTTCCTTTCTAACTCAAGTAACTCTTTTCTTACACATCTATTCTTTCTGTTCAGTACAATTACTTGTATAACTTCTAGCCTGGTCTACAAAGTTCTAAGACAGCAGGGGTGTTACACTGATAAGCCCTGTCTCAAAAAAGAAAAAAATAGGACACATCTTTCCAGCAGGGAGTCATAAAATTATAAGGCTTGCCTGTTCATCTTTGATGAAAACAAGTTATGCATCTGGTTGTATACCACTTTAAAAAGTGATATATAAAGAGATCAGCACTGTTACATGCAGATATGCTTTATGTACTTGTTTCATCTGAGTTTGCATTTGCAAGGGATGGGAAGTGTAGTCTAAAAATCTAAAATGAAAGCCATGAAACTGACTGGTGTATGAAGTAGCAAAGTTTGGGAGATCTGTCACGAACGTCACAACGTGCTGATTCTATTTATTTAGACTTACGTTTGGTATGTCCTTACTCCATTTCAGTCCAACTGTAACCCTTTCCCACAATGTCCCTAATGTTTCTAATACATATCATCTAATACTTTGTGTTACAGCAGAAGGCTATGTTGTGGCTTACAAAACCTAGATTATGCCCAGACTCTTTTACCAAAAATGTTTTCCAAACTCTTCGAAAACCTAAACCTGCAGCTTGGTCTCATTATAGGGCTCCTAGCAGGGATCTGTCCCTACAGCCTCGCTGGCTTTAGGGAACCTGTTTCCCATGCTGGATTACCTCTCCCAGCTGTGCTGCAGGAAGGAGCACTGTCCTGCCTCCATTTGTGGTGCCATGTTTTGTTCAAGCCCATGGGAGACCTGACACTTTCTGAATGGAGACAGAGAAAGAGGGAAAGGGGAGTTAGGTAGATGGAGAGCTTGGGGAAAGTCGGGGACCGGAAGGAGAGGAGGGGAAACTAAGGTCGGTATGTAAAATAAATGACAAAATGATTTTTAAGTAAGCAAATAAATAAACCCTAGTCTAAGAAGTAAATTCCCCCAATTAACTTCATTTATATTTCATTATAAGATAATGATATATAGGGGGCTGGAGAGATGGCTCAGAGGTGAAGAGCTCTTCCAGAGGTCCTGAGTTCAATTCCCAGCAACCACGTGGTGGCTCACAACCATTTATCATGTGATCTGGTGCCCTCTTCTGGCATGCAGACAAATATGCACACAGAACACCATATATGTATTAAAAATAAGTAAATAAGTTTTTAAAAATATTATAAAAAGATAATAATATATATGTATATATATACATAATATATACACACACATATATATAATCAAGATGGAAACCCTCTCCTATCCTCACAGACAAATCATTATGACAAATGAAATAGTATTTTATAGATACAAGAGAAAAAGGAGTAGAGCTTGAAGATGAACAAACACAAACACAGAATGTAAATATAATGAGGGAAGTGGCTGCTAAGTAGCAACAAGATCCCATTTAAGCAAACTCGAATTACTTTGTATTGCAGTTATGAATGCCATTGGCAATTATTCCTTCCTGCCAGTGGAGTCTTATGGGGCAGCAGACTGGGGAACTGGGCTGCAGCATCATGAACTTCAACCACACAAGAACCACCATAGGAGAAGTCACGCAGAAGTTGAGATTTTTATAGGAAATAAGGTTTATGATTTGGCGGGTCACTGGTGGTGCATGTCTTTAATCCAAGCACTTGGGAATCAGAGGCAGGTGGATCTTTGTAAGTTTGAAGCCAGCCTGGTCTACAGAGCAAGTTTCAGAATAGAATCATAAGCTACAGAGGAACTCTGTCTCAAAAGAAAAATTATAATTTGTAGAAATTATATTGAGAGAAAGATGCAAATTGAAATTTAAATTAATGTATCAAAATTGGGAAATAAAATGTGAGGAATATATAGAAATACAAGTATAAAAATGCCATTGTTTCATCACGAAAGAGGAAGACAGAATCCTCATAATCTAACAGATACTGTCCTCAACTTCGTCTCTTCTTGCTCTCATATAAGCTTTCTTCTTTTATGATAATGAGATCGTATAAGAACTAATATGCCCATGGGAAGAGATACATCACTGCCAAATGTTTAAATTTAGTTTATAAAGAGAGGGCATTTGAAATCTTATGGATGCTTTATCTTGACCAAATAACTTAACACACTAGTAAATTGAAAATGACAATAAGCTTGCCCAACAAAGTCTTGAGGAAATAACATCATAATGAGAAGGTGCAATAAGGGTCTGCTTTTACACTGTGACTATGTTCACGCTTATAAACGTATTAGTCTATAATTAATAAATAATTAATATAAATACTTCATGTTTCAGCAGGACTTTTTTCCTAAATACTATGTTCTTCTTTTTCATACCGAGTCATTTCAAAACCTACTGACTTCAAACAAAGCCAGAGTTTTGAGCATGTATGAGTCATTGGTTCACTAATGTGAGCTAGGTTTTCGTGGACAGTTCTAGCACCAGTTATAACATGCCATATTACTGCACCAATGAACTCTTTCAGCTCCAATATGATGACCCTAAAGTCTCTACCTCAACCAAGCAGAAGACAAACTAGCCTTCAGTTCACTGTATATCTTCTAGATGTATCCTTACAGTCTGGCCCGCTGTGTATATTGTAAACACAGATTACCAATTCTAGCCTAAGGAAGGTAAGCCCAAGTGAATGTACTAGTAAGCCACTGAGCCATATTTGAAAATGGCTCACTGCTCAAAGGCAGGCTCCCAACTAAATTCACACTGATTTGAACAAAATAGACCTCTAAACCTATGGAAAAGAGCAGAGGACTCAGAAATAATTTCACACAACTTTGGCCACACTATTTTTGATGATGGTGGAAAAATGCAGCCTATTCAACAATTAGTGCTGACAAAATTGGGTCCCCACCTTCAGAAGAATAAGCCTAGATATATACCTCTCACGTTGCATAAAATCCATATTGATGATAAAAGACCTTAATTTAAAATATGAAATTTCTAGCATAAAACAGGGGATGCCCTTCAAGGTCTAGACAAGGACTTCCTGAATGTAATCCCAATAGTAAAAGTAACAACACTACATTAACAAGTGGGTCACATAAAATATTAGAAGTAGCACATGAAGGAAACGTGGGGCTACAGTGATTGAAAAGTCCCCAGAAAGGGAGAAAAATCTTTGCCAGCTATACTGAAGATTCTACTGTCTAGAGTATGTGAAGAACTGCTAAAGACAAAACAAATTTCTGCCAAAATGAATGGGCTAGACAACTAGTCATGACGTTCTCAAAAGAAGAAACCCATGTGATCAGTAAGTATTTTAAAATCTGGGAAGGATATGAAAAAAAGGAACCCTGTTGACTCGTGGCATGAGTGTAAGCAGATATAGCCATTGTGGAAAACAGTCTGAAGATTTCTCCATAAAATTAGGAATAAAATTATGAGACCCAGATATTCCAGTCCTTGATAAACACCCAAATGACTGTATCAGGCCACAAAGATACTTGTAAATCCATGTTTACCACTGCTCTTTTCACAATAACCATGAAATACAATCAGCTGAAATGTCCACCAGCTGATGCACTGATAATGAATGTGTTGTGCTTATTCACAATGGAATTTTACTCAGCCACTAAGAAAAAGGAAATCATGCAGTTCCCAGGAAAATGGAAATATCTTGAAATGAAATTATATTAAGTGGACCATACCAGGCTTATACAAATGCCACATGTTCTATTTCATGCAGATCTTATAAGGGAACAAGATAAGATGGTAGAACATATGTATTTGAGAGTAGAATGGGGCATATTGGCAATGGAAGGGTACAAGAGGCCCAGAGGGAGGTGGAAGACAAGGACGATCAACCGGTACCAAATGTATCCAGACACCATAACGAAACCATCTACTTTGCTAGATAATTTTTTAAAGAGTTTTGTTTAATTGTTTGTTTTGAAGGAGTGTTGAGAAGGAGACTCACTATATAGCTTTAGCTGTCCAGGAACTCACTATGTAGACCAGGCTGGCCTCAGACGCACAGAGATCTGCCTGCGTCTGCATCCTGAGTACCGGGATTAAAGGTGTGCACCACCACACTCAGATGCAAGTTAATCTTTAGATAGAAATAAAGAACACATAAACAGTTTGATTTGGTTTGTTTGAAGGAAGGGGCAACAAAGTTGTACAACAAAGGGTGTGTGGCAACAAGAGAAAACTGCCATCATCATCTTTGAAAATAATGCTCCATGTTTGTCCTATTTGAATATCCTCCTTGCATGTGGTTTGAGTCATAAGGAGACAACATTTTCTTCCTTCAATTAAGCTCCATCAAATATATCAATGGCGGAACACAACTACTCTCAGAGCAACTTTCCTCTTTCCATCTCATTGCCAAACACCCTGTTGTGTCTGTGGCCTTGTTGCAGTATCTTTCTATATATATATATATATATATATATATATATATATATATATATATATATATATATATATATATTCAATTTGCTTCTTTTTTGCCAGCATCAGTTTCCACAGCTTGCAAACAAGAACTCTAAATAACACAGCACTTTTAAATGTCAAACTATTTTGTCTTTCTGTTAGTCAATGTATAAAAATAGCTACTTAGAAAATGTGCTGAGAACTTTATTGTTTAAATT